GTTCTCTATAGGGCCATTTTCTAGTTCAATATTCTAATGAGTAAGTGGTAATCAGAGAAGAATATTGTAAATGTAGGATTTTAGCAACTTTCAACATTAAGTCAGAAAAAGGACTATTACTTCAAATATTTAAAAATTTGAAACATTTGGGAATTGCTACACTTTTTATTTTCAAGGTTTGATCTCCTTTACTTAGTTTATTTTTTACTCTCTTTTTCTCCAGGACGTTCTGTGATCTTACATAACTTTTAGACAAATTTTAATTATTGTTATTATTAAAAATTTCCACCTCCTCACCTCCTCGCATTTCCCTCCTCTCCCCCCACTCCCCCTCCCTCTCCCTCTCCAGTTCAAAGAGCAGTCAGGGTTCCCTGCCCTGTGGGAAGTCTAAGGTCCTCCGCCCTTCATCCTTGTCTAGGAAGGTGAACATCCAAACAGACTAGGCTCCCACAAAGCCAGTCCATGCAATAGAATCAAAACCCAGTGCCATTGTCCTTGGCTTCTCAGGCAGTCATCCTTGTCATCCACGTTCAGAGAGGCCGGTTTGATCACGTGTTCCATCAGTCCCAGTCCAGCTGGCCTTGGTGAGTTCCCCTTAGATCAGTCCCACCATCACAGTGGATGGGCGCACCCCTCGCGGGTCCTGACTTCCTTGCTCATGTTCTCTCTCCTTCTGCTCCTCATATGGACCTTGGGAGCTCAGTTCCGAGCTCCAACGTGGGTCTCTGTCTCTATCTTCATCCATCGCCAGATGAGGATTCTATGGTGATAAGCAAGATATTGAACAGTGTGGCTATAGGATAGGGCCAGTTCAGGCGCCCTCTCCTCAGCAGCTCAAGGAACAAGCTGGGGACATCCCCTTGGACACCTGGCAACCCCTCTAGAGTCCAGTCTCTTGCCAACCCTAAAATGGCTCCCTTAATTAAGATATATACTTCCCTGCTCCCATATCCACTCTTCCTCCAACCTAACAGTCCCATTCCCCCAAGCTCTCCCCATCTTCCCTTCTCACTTCTCTCTCCCCATCACCCCCTACCCCCACTCCACCCCCACCCCCAAGCTCTCAATTTTTGCCTGGCAATCTTGTCTACTTCCAATATCCAGTAGGATAACTACATGTTTTTCTTTGGGTTCACCTTCCTATTTAGCTTCTCTAGGATCACAAATTATAGGCTCAATGTCCTTTAATTATGGCTAGAATTCACTAATGAGTGAGTACATACCATATTCCTCTTTTTGGGTCTGGGTTACCTCACTCAGTAAAGCGTTTTCTATTTCCATCCATTTGCATGCAAAATTCAAGATGTCATTGTTTTTTACCGCTGAGTAGTACACTAATGCATATATATTCCACACTTTCTTTAGCCATTCTTCCATTGAGGGGCATCTAGGTTGTTTTCAGGTTCTGGCTATTACAAATAATGCTGCTATGAACATAGTTGAATAAATGCTTTTGTAGTATGATAGGGCATTTCTTGAAGATAGAAATCATTTATTTCATAATTTTCTTGAGAAAGGTACATTTTAAAAATTCTTCATTTTGACACAATTTCAGTGATTTTTCTGAAATGATGAGAGATTACTAAAATAAACCATAGGCAACACTGATATAGGGGTCCTATTATATGGTCGATATAAGCAGTATTCTCTTTCTTTGATATTAGGACAAGTAGAAAACTGTGTGACAGTTGTTATAATTTAATATTGGAACCAGTAATTAAATAAGAAATACTAATATCTTTTTTATTTCTTTGTTTCATTTGACTTTGAAGAATCAGGTGGCCATTTTATGCTCTTGCCCTGCCACTGGGAAAACTATAATCACTGCGGGGGTAGATAGGAATTTGAAGGTAAAGGGATTAGATCATCAGTCAGCAGAGATCTGGCCACTAAGGAATGCAAATGTGATGAAAGACCATACACCTTAGAAATGTGTACAATTTGCAATATTTAATGTGAGCTCTTTGTCCCCAAGTACATTACTCAAGGGACAGCATATTATTATTGTTTAGAGTTAGGAAGAAGAATAAATAGTAAGTTTAACATACAACAGAATGATGTACATGATTTGGTAGCTGAAAGAACTGCTGGTTGAGTTTTGGAGAACTTTTCCTATGTAGAGCAAGTTTAAGTCTCTTTTTCTAACTTATATCTGTTTACTCTTTAATTACATGAGTACTGAGAGCATCTTTTTAATATTTCTATGAGATTGTTAGAAACAATCTTCCTATAAAGAAGACTTCCTTGTGGTACTCAAATGTCTGCATCTATTCACATTTCTAGCTCTTCTGTAGAGGAGTCCACATGAGAACATCACGAGCTGTGCCTTTAGTCACCTTGACCAGCATTTAAAGAATCACCTGTGCAACCTTTTCTTTTACCTACTGGGGACATCAAGGTAACTGATTTTTGTGGGTTACAGAGACAGCAATGATATGAAATTGAAGACAATTTTTAGAGTTACTCTACTGTGAAACATATTTTTGTTAATCTGAGTTACATTTGAATTTGTTGCAGTAATTAAAGCATCTTATATACTTACACTTATACCTTTTGATGCCAGTAATTATTTTAGTTGTTTTATTATGTGCACTACTGTGGTCTGGTGATGAAGAGCCCTAAACTATAAAGAGAAATTTATAATTCAAATTTTTACTTCATTTTGGAAGTTGTAAAAAAGAGCAGGGAATCTAATATTATCATATGAATTAAATTATTTATGTATATAACAAAAATTTTAACTTTGATGGAATAGAATAAATTCATTATGTTTAAACATAGTACTAAAAGGCTAAAACAAACATTGGAAGAATGAAAATTGAATAATTTTTGCTAATATGGGAACTATACAGGTAAAATCTAAAAACCGCTTAGGATGATATTAGTGAAGTAGTGGTAGAAGGAAATGAGTGAAGAAGAAAGGATTATAGATTTGTTGATAGAAAATCTAACCAGAGACAGTGGGAGGGTACAATATTAAATTATGAAAAATAACTATGATGATTGGTTAGCTAGAACTCTGCAAATATCATGTATTTTATTTTCTTTATAAATAAGGAAATAGTTACATGGTAATGTATAGTATTCTTACAATATCTGCTCTACTGAGCATGCAATCCTGCAAGAACAAATATGTTCAAATATTATGCTGTAATTTTTAACTTAAAAGCTAAGAGAGATCTCATATCTATTGTAATATCTACATTGGGTCAGTTTCCTGTATTTTTTATTTAGAAAGATTAAAGATATAGTGAATACATACATTTTTTCTTTTGCTGTTTATTTATTATCCATAGTACTGGGTTTCAGAAACACAATTTCATACAAGATAAAATATATTTTGACCATATTCTATTCCCAAACTCATTATTCTCATCTTCTCCCCTGCCAGTGAGAACACAATTTTACTGTGAGCTAACAAAGTTCACTCTACCTCAGTACTTTGCCCATTATAAAATGCTTTCCAAGGTTTGTGTTTCTACAGTAGGGGGACTCTAGTTTCCTGAGAGGATGATGCATAAAAAGAAGAGAATGGAGATTGATTTGATTAGTATTGAAGACAGTTTTTCTGCCAGATTAATTTGATTGGCATGTATAGTATAAATGAAGAAACATTGTGACTGACTTCTAGATATGAGAAAAAGGGGATTATACTTTATTATAACATAGACATGTTAGTTATTATTTTAAACTACTTTAGCTTTTGTATCTGCTTATAGAAAATCTTACTTGGAAGCATTAAAACTAAATACAGATAAAACCAAAACATTTTATGTATTAATGTGGAAGACATGAATATGACTTCCTTGAATGCCAATACTGCAACTAGATTATTACAACAAATTTGAGATGCATTAGAATATTTATTCATATATTTTATGTGTATATAATTTAAAATAAGAATATTAACAATTTTTAGGATTGTCACTGAATTTAACTACTGAATTGTTGAATGATGCAGATATAGGAAACATAATTTTATTTCAGAAGATCATTAACATAATTAAATTATATAATCAATGCCATTTATATTGAGGACTAGCTATTAACCTGGGATAGACAATATAGATTATATGCTTTTAGTTTTAAAATCAGAAATGCTGAACTTGGATTGGACTTCTGTATTTATTGCTTAAGAGAATTTTGTATCCTCTCCTGCCACCTCTTTAAGCCTTATTTACTAACTTCTAAAATGAAAAAAGAAAACAACATTGTAAGACATGTGATTTCAAAAGGCATGGTAGAGACTCACTGAATATTATCAATATATAAAAATGGTATTAACAGTCCCATTTTATTAAGTAAATGTTTGTATGGACAGGATGATATCTTTGGTCCATAGTCCTTGGTATTTGATTTTTCTCAATATTCTTCAACTACAGCATTGCATATATCCAATAAAAAACATGGCATAAGTATATGATGACTTGAATATTTTCCATGTGTACATGTAAGGGTAAGTGAAACTTAACGTTCTACTTTCAAATGTGCAAGAATCAGAGCCTTTGCAATATTCAGAAAGTCTCACATGTGTAATATTTCTTCCATTGTGTGTGAAAAAAATGACCCTGGAACAGAGGTGTGACAAAAAGAATGAGAACAGGGCAAACCTACAGTATGCCAAAGAAGTTGTTAAAACCTGTTAGCTGATATACTCCAATAGCTAAGGTTTTCCTAATGATTTAATTATATAATGTTCATAGGAATATGCACATAGTGAGTTGTGAAGAAGAGTTCTCAAAGTGTCAAAGAAGGAAGCACTAAGATAGAAAACAAGAGTTAAATTAATGAGAAATGAAGCTGTCTTTAAGTCAATAAGACTGAAACTACTGTAAGAGTTTTTCTGTTCTCTATTGGCATCTGCAAAAATTGACTGTGTCTGGAAGGTATGAGACAAGAAGAAACAGATGTCCACAACACTACACAATGACCCATTAAAAGTTATATCCCCTTTGCAGATTCTCCACTTCAGAATTTTATATTTTCTCCAAATAAGTAAAATGATGAATCAAAACAATGTGACGGAGTTCATTCTTTTGGGAATCACAATTAATCCGGTACTGAAAAAACTCTTGGCTGCTTTGTTTCTAATTATGTACATGACCACAGTGTTGGGAAATCTACTCATGGTGGTAACAATAACCAGAAGTCCAAGTCTGAGGTCACCCATGTATTTCTTCCTTTTATGTCTGTCACTCATGGATGTCACTTACTCTTCTGTTATTGCTCCAAAGTTGATTATAGATTCCTTTTCTGAGAGGAGTATTATCTCATTTGAAGGTTGCATGACCCAGTTATTTGCAGAACATTTCTTTGGAGGTGTGGGCATTATCCTTCTCATTGTGATGGCCTATGACCGCTATGTGGCTATCTGTAAGCCCCTGCACTACATAACCATCATGAGTCCTCAGGTGTGCTGCTTAATGGTAGGAGGAGCTTGGGTAGGAGGATCCATGCATGCAACCATTCAGCTTCTCTTTATGTATCAAATACCATTCTGTAGTCCCAATGTCATTGATCACTTTATGTGTGACTTGTTTCCATTGCTGAAACTGGCCTGCATGGACACACATATCTTGGGTCTCTTGGTCATTCTCAACAGTGGGGTAATGTGTTTGTCCATTTTCCTTATTCTTCTTACTTCCTACATGGCAATCCTGTGCTCTTTCAAGTTTTATAGTTCTGAAGGGAGACGCAAAGCACTCTCCACATGTAGCTCACACTTCACAGTAGTTGTGTTGTTTTTTGTACCATGTATTTTCTTATATGTGAGGCCTGTGGTGACATTTCCAATAGACAAAGCAATGGCTGTGTCCTTTACTGTTGTTGAACCAATGTTAAATCCCTTGATCTACACTTTGAGAAATTCAGATGTAAAAAAGGCTTTGAAAAATATGTGCATGAAATGGGGCACAGGAGATGCCACTAACTTTTAAAACATGAAGAATTAGTTCCTACAAAGCCAATGAATGTCTACTCTCTCTACTAATTCCAGGCTTCTGAGGATAAGGGATTTAGGAGTATTTTTTGAATTTAAAATTCAGAAAATGGTATATTTTGGCTACTGTCTAGTTTCCAGAGCACTTCACCAAGATATTTTATGATACACATTCTTCCTTACAAGGAAGTACATACATACATGTACACACATACATTCACACACACACACACTCAAACACACATTTTGAACAGTATAAAACTTCTCAGTTTAATATTCTAAATTCTTTCCCTCTTTTCTGCTGGAATGATCTCTTCTGGAACCTTTTCCTGACCACTGTACCATGGCTTCTTCAGGTTCCTTGTGAATTCCTACTTGAAAAGAAAAATGATTTCTTGCCTTTCTCAGTCATTTGCATTGTTTATTCTCCACTTCTATATCCATGTTGTATTCTTAAGATTCATGTTCAAAACTATTCTTCAGAGTATCCCCTGGATTTTATAGTCTTCAATCTTACAAGTTGTAATCTTTGGAACCTGTGGGTTACATTCACCTCTGCGTGTTGGAATTTCATCAATAAAAATATCCCTAGTTGTCAAGTATATCCTCATAAATATTGGTGATGAAATTTTAGTCAAAGAAACACTTAGAGACCTACATGTTCACAAATAAATAACAAGGAGGATGTTGAATGGTTCAATATACCTAAATACTTTAAGAAGCCAAATCCCCTAGTTCTCATGCTGTCAAGTATTCATTCAGGAAAAAATTTCAAATTATTATTGTGCTATTTTAAAAAAGATATCAACACTTCACCTAAATTCTCAACTACTTTTTGCTTTTATTTAGAGGAGAAAATGGAAAAGATGTTTTTAGTCGACTGGAGATATTTTAGAATCATGTATCCTTATCTTGAAGTTAGATATTCTTTAAAGAGCTCTGTATTGTTTGGTTATAGCAGAATGTATTTGCTGTTAAATTCAAGATTTGAGCATTCATAAACAAAGAACATTTGTTTCTTTTAAGGTTCAACTATGATAATATTAGCAAAACATACTTGGCATTTAATACTGCTATGATGGGATACATGGTGATCCTCAGGCCCTAGATAATTTAGAATCACATTTCCTTAAAGTGAATGTATATGATATTGTGACAATAATTACAGGGTCAGTTATGGAATTAAAACATTTAAATTATAACATTCATTTTTAAAATATAGTTGTTCAATGACATTTTAACCCTAGCAAACATCAAAAACATCAGTAAACATGGTGTTCATTTTCAGTTATTCATTATTGAGGGTGGGCAATGCTTGATGTTTCAGAGGGTGTTCTAGGAGCCATACTTATAGTAGTTGATAAGAGAATGATTTGTTATTGTTTAGAGCTCAAATATAAAGACAGGCAACAATTTATAGTAATTTAATTTAAACACTTGAAAAGCAGTTGATTTTTTTTCACAAAATGTCTTTCACAAAATAGCTGTGAGGGGGAACTCTCAAAGGGATTTCTATACTAAGACATGAATGATGCAATAAAATTCCCTAAAGGCAAATATATGGGAATAATGAGGTACAAAAAAATGGGAAGGTTATTTGAAACAATCCTGAATAAAACAATAAGAAATAGCAGTAGATGTGGTTCTGTGAGTGATGAAGAACAAGGTGAGGTTAGAAGCATGGCAAAGTACTGGTTAGAAAATTCTTTTACTTTTACATCCTTAAATTTAAGCATATTATATACATCAAATTGGCTTGATCCAAAATAATTAAAAATATTTCTTGGACTTCTGGATAGCTTTAGAAATTAGAATTTTAAAAACCTTTATATATTGCTAATATTTAATCTTTGACACTTCAGTAAGAGAGCTAAGTTTCCTGCCTAATAACAACATTTTATAGCTCATTACACAGAAGAGCTCGGCTGATCATTCATACTGAAATTATGACACATATTTTGTTAATATAAATTTCCAAAATTCTTCTATTCTATGTTCTGTATATCCACCAAATTATTCACATTAGACAGTCTCATTAAACACATTACTTAACAGCTGAATATCTTAATTGTTTTCATTCACTTGACTTCTAGGACAAACCTTGCCTTGGTGGTTAAAAATAAGAATTTACTACTATTTATAATTAATAATGAAATAATGTACTAAAATGTACAAACAAAAACATAATTTGCACTTTTAAAAAGGGTACAATGCAAGAATGCAAAACTAATCTCATGAATTCACCATTCAACTCCCTATCTGCCATTCCTACCTTCTACTCTGAATTACTTATCTGTGTCCCAATTGAAATCAATGAAATTCTTTTTTCCTGGGTAGTGCTTCTTTACCTCCTATTTCAACATCTTTATCTTGTTCATGTCATCTTCAAAACATATCTCAGGTGATGCCACTTTCAATCATTTGCCAACTGTTATCTCATGTTAAATCAATACTATATTTTACCTGTGTGATGTGATTGCTTCCTAGATAGACTCCCTGTGTTGATACTAATATTCTCTGAGACTAATATTTGATCTTCAACACAAAACAAAGAGATCTTTCAAATTTATAAATATGATCATACCTCATGTCCTTTATTCTTAGGGTAAAAGCCAAAATAAGGTTACATGATTATTTTCCTAAACTCTGTTAAACTGATCCTACAGTGATTATTCCAGTATATGGTGATTTCTATTCCTCTTACATGTTGTATAATAAGAATAACTGACACATTGAATATTATGTGTTAGAACCGAGCATGTAATTTACTTTTCTTGGATACATATCCTATCATATTTTTTTTAGAGTTTTGAAAGTTTTATTTCAGTGTGAGTTAAAAGGTAGTATGTCCCAGGAGGCTCCACAAATAGGACCTACACATCTAAACATCATCCCAGTTTTTTACACTAGAAAGTGATCTCCACCACAATGACAATGCCCTTTAATATTTTTATGTCGAAATCATTTTGACTATATATATATAAAACATATGAGTAGTTTTGTTCAGTTTCATAGAACAAGGAATACTATCTGTCAAGGGCAAGGACATTACTTCCAAGTTAGCTTCTGTATAATACTGCACTAGACTGATAACTGCAATTATATCAACTAGATTTTTTCTGGATGATACAGGTCAAGTTTTAGACTATAATATTTTTTGGCATATCTCTATTTGTAAATTCTTATGATTTTTTATCTATCTTTATTTTGACTACACTACCATTCCCTAGAGAATCATATCTAGTTTCTTATCTAGGATTTTTTTTTTGCTATAATAGAAAACCATGATCCAAAGCAATTTTGAGAAAAAGGATTTATTTCACTTTACAGAATTCAGTTCACTATCAAGAGAAGTCAGGACAGGAACTAAAGGCAGGATCCTCAAACAAGAACTGAAGCAGAGGCTCTGGAGAGAAACTTCTTATTGATTCACTCCTCCTGGATTCCTCAATGTCTTTTTGCACAGCCAAGGAACACCTGCACAGAAAAGACACCACAACTGGTAAACTTTAAAGTAAATCAACTAAAATACAGAGAAAGACGATCCATTTTAATAGACCTAAGATAGAAAGAAAGATATCACAACAGACATGAAGAAAATTTCATTGATGTTAAGGTATACTTTAAAAAACATATATTACATCTAATTGGAAAAGATGAAAGAAATGGATGAATTTCTTGATCTATATGAACTATCAATGTTAAATCATATAAATATTTTGGACAGAGACATAATCTCTAATGAAATCAAAGCAGTAATTTAAACACTCCCACTAAAAAAGTAAATAAATAAATCCCAGGTCGAAATGGATTCAGTACAGAATTCTATCAGATCTCCAAAGAACAACTGAGGCCAATATTTCCAAAATTATTCCACAAAATGAAACTGAAAAATGTTTCCTAATTCTTTTTATTAAACAATTACCTTGATATCAAAACCATATGCCTCAATAATGAAATGAAATTGCAGAATCTTTTTCTTTATAAACATATATACAAAAATTTTCAAGAAAGACAATAACAAACTGAATCCAAGATCAAATAAAAAAATTTCCACCATTGTTAAGTAAGTGTCATTCCACAAATGAAGAAATGGTTCTGTAGGCAGAGACAGCTCATTCTATTCCTGATCACCCAGATCCTGAATAATTACACAGAAAATGAATTAATAAAATCACTGCTTTTCCTATTAGCTTCAGCTTCTTATTGGCTAGCTCTTACATCTTATATTAACCAATTTCTATCATTTTGCATTTTATCATGAGGCTCATGGTTTACCATCAGGGTTCCAGCTGGCAACTCATGTCTTTCTCCTCTGGTGACTACAGGGCATCTTCCTGACTGTGCCTCATCTTTCCTCCTCTATCTGCTTGGAAATCCTGCCGTGCCCTGTTCTGTAGTGCAATAGGCCCAAAGCAGATTCTTTATTAACCAATGGTATTCACAGAGTACAGAGGGGAATTCCACATCTTGATTTAAAATATATAAGTCAATAAATGTAATCTACTAACTAAACAGATGTAAAAGAAAAACAACAGCAAAACCGCATGAACATCTCATTTGAGGAAGAAAAGTCTTTTGACAAAACTAACACCCATTCATGATGAAAATCTTGGAAAAACTAGGGAAATGTTGTACATACTTCAAGATCATAAAGGTTATTTATATCAAGTACACAGCTAATATCAAACTACATGGAGAAAAATCGCAATGTGAAATCAGGAACAAGAAACAGATGTCTGCTTTTTTTCATACATGTCTAGTATAGTACTTGAAATCTTAGCTTGAATAAAAACAATCCTACAAATAAATGAAATGAACATCAAAATTCAAGC